TAGCCCATGGCAACCCACTGCCACAGGGGCTGCAGCCTATGCCGTCGCCGGCGACTCACAGCAGCCCAGCTCCAGGTTGAGCTGTTGTTCAGCATTTTAGCTGTGGAGGGCCGTGTCACTGGCCCTCATATGTGGGATCCGAACCGCGGCCCTCTGGCGTCCCAAGCCAGTTCTTAACCATCGCGCCACTCGGCCGGCCCCTAAGAATGGTTTTTAAATGGCTGACATTAAAATTTCAATGCCTGTAAAAGGTTTTTATTGGAACATAATCATGCCCATTTGTTTACATATTGTCTGGATGCTTTCAGGCTATGGTGGCTGAACTAACAGAATTGTTATGACCCAGAAAGTTTACATGCTCCCTGAGTTTTAGGACATGGGTGACAACAGCTACCCCACTGGCCTGCAAGTCTGCCCCACAGCTGGAGGGGTTTTCTCAAGTTGGACTGCAGCGTCTGCCTCCCCTGGACCCACAGTCCCGAGAGTGGCCTTGAGGCTAGCTGTCGCCCTCCTCTCGCCCTGTCCGAGCCCCAGGAGCAAACAGTTCCCATCCTGTCTCACAAAAGCCACTTAACACCTGTACCCTGACACGTCTTATATCACTGTATGTTTGTGTGGTCCTCCCTGAGACAAGCACGTAGGGCTAAACTGGGACTAACCCAGAATTTACAGCATCAGCCATCAGGAGTTCACCAGGGGTCCAAGTACGGGTCTGTGCTCCCCGCTGTGCGAGGGTCAGTGCACGTTGTCTCCCGAGGACTGAAAATGGTTCCCACTCGCCGTTCCTGACAAAGGCACAGACAGTGCCTTCTGGGGGTGGAGGGTGTGGGTGGCTGGTGAGTGAGTAGAGCACTAAGCTCCCACTTACCTGGAACCTGGTGGGGGTGAAGGGAGCAGGTGGCATGTTACCAGGGGCCTGGGACCTTCCAGGGGCCTGTGGAGTGGACACATCAACAGCCATGGAGACAGCCAGGTGCACAGAGACAAGAGGGTCTTTGTGGTCTGGTGGGCAGACGAAGGGTGTGCAAATCCTGGTGGCCACCTACTGAGGCAAGCAGCTCCAAGAGCCTGTTGACCATCTGCCCAGCCCCCACCACAGGATTGCTGAGGGCTTGTGGTGGGTTCCGAGTGCCAGCCCCTCAGGAAGGGGTTGTGTGTCTTTCTCATGTCGCCAACTCCAGAAGGTACCTCTCCTCACGGCCACCAGGTGCATGGTTCAGATCCACGGGGCCCAGCCACATGGCCCGTGAGGCAGGGAGCTCGGGGCACCCTGCTGGGCACTTAGACCGGGCTCAGACCCCGCATCTCCATCCTAGTTCAATGGCAGCTTCACTGCGGTAATCCTGCACAACAGAAGGCCCCAAGTCTCCGTGGCTTTCAACCCTAAACATGGGTCCTCACTCTGGGACCAGCAGCCAGCCGCTCAGGACACATGAGCCAGCAGAGAGCCTCTTGAAGCCCCCTAAGGGGCACACACTGCCCTCCTGCCACCCTCCACGGTCATGCCCCCAAAAGTCAGCCGATGAAGGACACTGCCCCAGGAAGCCTCATCACGGCAGGGAGGGAATGCTGACAGAAAACACCGGTTCCTCCATTATTTGTGTGACCCTGGGCGAGCCGCTAATGCCTATGCTTCGTAAACTGGGAGACCGGAGGCTCATACCTGAGTTCAAACTGTGCAGTGAACTCTCCACCTGCACCTGTTGGTGTACCGTGACTTTTGTGTTCACGGCTGCACCACCAGGGCCTGGCCCATAGGGGGAGCACGAGAAGCACAAGCTGAGGGTGTAGTTGGGGTCTGGCGCGCAACAGTATCAAGGCAGCTTCTGAACAGTTCTACTATGTAAAATGCTTTCACCACTAACATAACTGCAATTTTAATAGCAAAAAAAAAAAAAAAGAAAAAGAGAAACACAAGCTGCTGTGGTCTGAATGTGTCTCCCTACATTCATATGGTGAAGCCCTAATGCCCAGTGTGATGGCCTGGGGCGTTAGGCCTTTGGGAAGTGCTCCGGTGCCTCCAGGCTGGGAGTGGTGCCTTATAGGAGACCCCAGAGAGCTCTGGTTCCCAGCAGGGCACACAGTGGGGCCAGGGGCACCACCAGATGGAGCCCAGCACAATGGTGAACAGGTTTAGAGAGCAGGGCCCCAAAGAGCCCTCCCAGGGGCATGGCTATGCTGGAGGGTGCAAAGCTGGTCCCGGGCCCTGCACACTCCCACCTGCAGGCCCCTGTCCCCCTTTCCCCTGCCACCACCAATTCCAGCAGGCTCCCAACTCCTGCCCTGTGCCCTACACTCGACTCTCCACAGCATCCAGTGCGTTTCAACGCAACCGTCAGATGGCGGCCTGCCCTCTGTACCCTCCACTCCCCTCCCCCTCCCTCAGCTGCAGCCACTCAGCCTGTGCCCGAGCTATGCCAGCCATTTTTACTTTGCACTTTGTAATGTCCCCCCTCTCCCACTGGAAGGGTGGCTTCATGAGCTCAGAGATTCAACACAGGAGAGTGAAATGTGCACCCTGAAACACTAAGCAAATGAGCAAAGGGCTCAGATGTCACATAGGCCACCCAAACTAACTCAGAGTTTGCACAAAGGCCGTGGCTGGGACCCCAGGCTGTGAGCCCTCACCTAGCAACATCACCAATGGCTGGGAGGGTGTGCCCAGTGACGCCCACCAAGGAAGCCATTTGTATAGTTGCTTTACTTCCAAATAAAGACACAGCTGTCCTTTTCAGTAAACTGAGAATGACATGACCGCACTGACACACTCCCTGAAGAGTGGCTCCTGGGCAGGGCGGGCTTGGCTTTGGAGGTGTCCCCAGGTAACCAGAGCAGGACTCCCAAGTGCGTCAGTCCTGCAGTTTACGCTGGCACCTCTTCTCCAGGTCGGCCATCTCCTTTAGGACCAGGGCCACGCTGTATCGAAGCTCCTGGAACCTGGCTGTGGAGACCTCGAAGCGGTGCGCTGACCCGTCTGAAAGCGTCAGCTGCATCAGGATGCTCGGCTGCAGAGAGCGGGCCAGGGCGCTGGTGGAGATGGCCACGTCTACCCGCCAGCGCAGGTCAGTGACATGGGGCAGCCAGGCCCCCTGCTGCCTGACCATGGAGTCGAGGACAGGCCGCTGGCTCCCAAAAACCACACTGGCCAAGTCCACGGCCATGTCTTGGGGGATGCAGAGCTCCTGGAGCTGGTCCTGGAAGGCATCGGGCTTTAGGCTGGCCAGGGGCAGCCGGAGGGCGTGCTGGAGCAGCGTGTGCGTGCCGGCTAGCAGGGCGCCCAGCCGCTCCTCGGGCAGGCATGCCCCAGCCGCCAGGCGCTGCACAGCCTCACGGCAGTCCTCTCCCTGCTGGCTGCTGACCACCAGCTTCAGGAGCTTTCTGAATGTTCCCCTGTCCAGGTCCCCCAGGAGGCGGGGCATTGCTGCCACCTCTGGGGGCGGCTGGGCCCCCACGAAACTCACCCGGCCACTGTGACTGTCACTAGGGTGATTCAGGTATGGAGCGGCAGCCCCCACGGCAGACATTGCTGCTTCCTCCTTGTCGGTCAGCTAGCCCAGAGGCAGGTCCTAGCGGCAACTGCCTGGAGGGGATGGAGAGGAGGCCAGTGACTCCCATGTCCTTTGGGCCAGTGACTGAGGACACTGGCAGCGTGAACCACTGATGACAGCCCATGTGACGGGAGGAACCCTGGGAGCAAGTGGTGGAGGGGCCCACTGTAGTCCCAGGAAGAAGGGAGGATAGCGAGAAAACCAGGAAACAGGAGACCACACACATTCTCCAAATAAGCATGTGAAGGAGAAAGGTCCACAGACTACAAGGACACAACAGCCACTGCCACTGCCACCAACCAGGCTGGGATCACTTAACTACTTAACTTTGAGTCCTTACTACTCTTACTAAGGAACTCGACACTCAAATACAACTGTCCAAGTCAAGAGAGCTACCCTGTTTCCCCGAAAATAAGACCTAGCTGGAAAAGAAGCCCTTTCATGATTTTAGGTGCCAAAATATGGTGCCTTCACATATTGAATATTTTAAGCCGAAGTGGTTTGTGGAAAAAGCACCCTTCCCCCTGAAACAGGTCATAAAACCCTGATGTGGGGGATGCATGCTCTCCATAACTTGGAGGAATCATGCTAGGGCTTCTTCTCCGGCTAGGTCTTATTTTTGGGGAAAACACGTAGAACCCAGACGTGTCTACTTAGAAGTCCCCGCTGCCTCCATCATGATACAGGGGAGTTCAGACACAAGGTCCCCAGGCAGGACGGGCTGAGGGACATGTGACAACAGAGGTATGTGTGGAATCTGGAGGAAATGGCTGTGACATGATCTGAAGGGACAGCACAACGTCCAAGCAGGTCTCAGGGGCCCGGCCCACACACCTGCTAATGCGGGAGGAGAGTACACGCCAGGCTCAGCAGTGCCAGGTGATGGGGCAGAGCTCGGCAGGGCACAGCCCGTCCCCAAGGCGCCCACAGGTCTAGGTCATCGCGGCACAGCGCGACCGGCTTGGTGGAGCGCTGGGAGAGCACGGGAGCACAGGGGGCTCTCTACCCGCTTCACGGTACCCCACTCCCCAGGGAAGGCCTGCCCTTCTCACCCCGGATGTCAACGACCATCCAAGGCCTTTCAAAAAAGTCGGGTCCTCCCTCACGGCCTCGCCAATAACAGGAACGGCCTTCCTCTGCCAAGGGCCACCCGGCTGCTCAGGCCCTGCTGCCTGGAGGCCAGCGAGCTGCCCCCGAACGAGGCTCTCCCGGCCACCCGCCCGGAGGAAGCAGTCGCCGAGGCGGGCCCGGTTCGAGTCCGGCCCTGTGCTCGCCGCGGTCGGCGCTCTCCGGCCCCGCCCCAAGTTGCAGCGGATCGGCCCGCTGGCGCCCTACCGTCGCTGACAGGTCTCGGGCCTCCAGAGCCCCCCGGACGTGGTGGCCACGAGGCCAGGGTTCCGGTCTGGTGTCCCGGGAGGGGCACCCCCACCCGCCGCGCCCCCAGGCCCGAGCCGCCCCCACCTGGCGTGCGATGCCCGCAGCGGAACAGCCAGGAAGAGAATGGCGGGCGGCCCCGCCGGAAGCGGGGTCTGGTCCCGTGGCGACTCCGACACTTCCGGGAAGCTCTAGGACACCGGGAGGACCAAGCCCTCTGTGGTCCGCGGGTCGGAAGGGCCCCGCCGAAGCTGCCGGAGTGGGTACTGAAGGGACCGGGGCAGATCAGCCGTGCGGGTCAGTGCCTGCGGGATGCATTTCCAGGCACCGTTCCGGGGGGATTTCAAAGGCCTTCACGGAGCCCACGGGCCCTGGTCTCGGCTGGGGGTGGGTGGAGGGCCTAGGAGAGGGAGAGAGGACCCGGGTCCTGGGCCCAGGGCGCCGGCGGGCAACCTGAGGGGTGGTGGCCCGACAACGTGCATGTACTTAGCCACTCAGCTGTGAGCTACTTTTTTATTGAAGTGTAACTTACATGCAATATTCTGTTGGTTTCAGGTGTACATCATGATTACACTTTTTTTTTTTTTAAGCTGGGCCATCCTGCCACCTGTTGGCAGCTCAGCTGCAGCTCAGCTCCGGCAAGACTCGAACCGCTGTTGCTCAGAGCTCACACTCTTATGCGAGCTCTTAACCAACTGAGCCGCTCGGGTGGCCCTGGAGTCCACATTTTTATATAGTGCACATTAATCACCAGAATAAGCCTAGCTACCCTCTGTCACCATACGGAGTCAATACAGTATTGTTGACTATAGCACGCATGCTGCACATTACATCCCCATGGCTTATTCATTTTGTATCTGGAAGTTTTGTCCCTTGATGCCAGGAAGGGCCACCTGTGGGTGTTGTGTCCACCTTGGAGGGAAAGGGCATGGTCTCAAAACGGCTCATGTCCAGGTTCCACCAGTAACAGGTGCAGAGCTTAACAGCAACAAAATACAGCGCAAAATATAAAACAACACACTGACGTTTGTTAGCTGATTTGCTAGTCTAAAGATGACTGCAACAGGAGCCGAGACCTAAAAGCACTGAAGAAGGGTCCTTCCTCTCTTGGACATGTCTTGATGACAGATCCAACAACCAGAGAGGTTTCCACAAAAGACCGAGAAATGCGGACAGGTTATTCTCTTTCCAAAAAAGAGAAAAGCAAATAAAGCAAGAAAGGGTTGTGCCGGCCTGGCCCGGCGATGGAAGGCGGGCCTGATGCCCCGGGTCCAGCCTGTCCGGACTGGCCGCCTGCCCACCTGCCCACCGGTCCCCCTCCCAGTCGTCCAGTCCCCCAGCCGACTACAGACCGCACAGACGGCGCGAGGCCTCTGTGGTCCTAGAGCAGCCCCGGAAGTGCTGCGGCGGGACTGCGCCGCCGCTTCCGGCCCCGTGGGTCTTGACTGGAGACGCAGGCTCGTGCCGAGGGCCCTGTCGGGCGCAGCTCGGCCCCGCCCTTTCCGCCTGGCCCCGCCCCCTGCCCGGCCGACTCGCGGTGCCCAGGTGTGCCGCCCCTCCTGCGTTCACTCTCCGGGGGCGGGCTGAGTGCGGCGGCCACTCCTGGCCGAGGGACGATTGCATACCGTGGAAGTTCCGGCCGAGGGGGCGGCCCGCCGGATCGAGGTGCGCCCAGGCAGGACCTCGGGAGGTTTCCGCCGAGGTCGCTTGGGCAGGGCCGGCGGTGCGGAGATTTCAGGGGGATCTGCCTGGCTAAGGGTCGGCCCGGACCGGCCTGGGGGCGTGGGAGAAGCGGCGAGCTGTGTCTGCAGTCCTGGGCGGCCAGAGTTCGCGGGCCCAGGGGTCAGCGAGGACTTGGCAGGCCTACCCCGTAGGCTGGGGACGAAGGGGTGGAAAGGTCAGCAGACTGGCTGTGCCCTCAGTAGCTCAGGCCCACCCGCACCCACCTCTACCCCCCCACACACACACACACACGTTCTCTGGCCCTGTGGGCCTTGTCGGATGGGGGACCGCACAGCCTGTCCCAGGTGAGGCTCGACACCTGCTGGGCCCGGGAAGCTGGCCCGCTGGGACCTGCCTGCTTGCACTACTCAGCTCTCAGCCGCACCTGGGCCCTGGGTCTGCCAATTTGGGGACTTTCCGTGTAACTCTGGGCAGTCGGGCATGCTTTGGGTCGTGATGCAGAATGCCCAGCCTCTGACCAGCAACTTATGTGAGCGACTTCACTCATGGCTCCAGGAGGCCACTCCAGGAACTCATTAATGCCGTCCGTCACCTGTCCACCCTTCACATCCCTTGGGCAATAGAAGTTAATGGAGTGACTTCATGCCACTGAATGGGTCTACGTGTGGGTCCACTCCCTCTGACGGTGAGCTGAGGGAGGCCCAGGCCAGCGCAGCCCCTCAGGTCCTGAGTCTTCTTCCTTCAGATCCTGTTTCCCAGGATGGCATCTGCACTCAGGCCTCCAGCTCCCCAGGTGAGTTCACTCTCCTCCCTGCCCTCCCTCCTCTGGAGCTGTGAGCCCAGCACCTGGAGAAGTTGGGAGTCCTGGCACCCAAGGAAAGGGTTCTGGGATTGGATTCACATGCTTCCCTAGGGAGAGGCGCTCTGGGAACTCAGCTGGGTCCCCATGGTGGAAGAGGGCGGTGGGTCGTGGGGCTGACCGCTGCAGGTCTGCCCAGTGGGCATGGCCCCGGGGCAGCGCCCACCTGTTGTTGCAGGAGGCAGTGTCGCTGACCTTCCAGGACGTGGCCGTGTACTTCTCTCGTGAGGAGGGTCAGCAGTTGGGCCCCGACCAGCGGGCACTGTACAGGGACGTGATGCTGGAAAACTACAGGCACGTGGCCTCGCTGGGTAAGGCTTTCCTCTTGGCTTGGGGTGGGGGTGTCTGTGGAGCTTGGGGGCTGTTTCCGCACTTTGGAGCCCAAAGAAGCGATTCTTGTGCCCAGGTAGCAGTCTGGTCTCTGCATATTCCCCATAGATAGCCTGCCTCACTCCCAATTTCAGACTTCACTCTGTGCCACCAGAGTTTCCCCACTGGCCAGAGAGCTGATGACTGAACTCTTCAGCGCTCAATCTCAGCCCTTGCTTCTGGTGACCAACCCCTTTCACTCCCCCCAATACCACATTTGTGATTCCTTCCCACGGAGGCCACACCCCACTCCCACCTACCCAGAGGTTGCCTGGGATGCGACAATTCTCATTTGGCCTGGAAGACCCAGTGGGCACTGTCCCGCTCCAGCTCCCAGACCACACCAGCTCACCCAGGGCCCTTACCCCAACAGGACTCCCTTTCCCTAAGCCAGAGCTGATCTCCCAGCTGGAACAAGGTGAAGAGCTTTGGGTCCTGGGTCTCATGGGAGCTGAGGAGCCTGAGGCCTTGAGTAGCTGCAGGACAGGTGAGAGCACATGGGGGTTGTTAGATGAGGCTGACTCCCGGGGGTGGACCCAGACACAGTGCTGTGTGCTCATGCAGACGTGTGCACGTGCTTTAAAGACTTTTCTCTTACTTACTTGTTTGCTTTATCTTTAAAAAAATCGTACACAGTTTTTCTGGTCACTAGAGAAGCTCGCATGTAGCAACTACCTGTGTGCTAAACCTGTGTAACAGCCTCATTTCCCTCCCCCTTTTTTTTTTTTACCAATTGTATTGGGGAATTGGGGAAGGGAACAGTGTTGGGGAATTGGGGAAGGGGAATATTGTGTTTTTCCAGGACTCATCAGCTCCAAGTCAAGTTGTCCTTCAATCTTAGTTGTGAAGGGCGCAAGCTCAGCTTCAAGCCCAGTTGCCACTTTCAATCTATTGGGTTGTCGGAAAAGTCATGACGCATGTTTGCGACAGATGGCACTAGTTCATTTTTGGAAGTGCTAGAGTCATTCGCATCTATGTTATTACTATGTCACCTGACAGCTGACAGTTCTGTCTTCATTCTAAAAAAAAAAAAAAGCAATTAGGTTGAGTTTTGGAGATTTTACAACAAGTTGAAGATGGAAGACCAAACTGTGTATTTTTGCCATATTTTACTGTTTTACTTCCATAAAGGGAAGAACGCACATCAAGCTTGTGAAAAGTTGCATAAAGTTTACGGTGACAATGCTCTATAAGAACGTTAGTGCCAATGATGATTCACGAAATTCCGTGCTGGTGATTTTGATCTCAACGACGCTCCTTGGTCAGGGAGGCCCACCGAGGTTGATGATGACAAAATAAAGGCATTGTTCAAGTCAAACCTACATTACATAACAAGAGATTGCAGAAACATTGAACATCCATCCTTCAAGTATTCATGACCACCTGAAGAAGCTCGGATACGTAAGCAAGCTCGATATTTGGGTTCCGCATGAACTCAGAGTTAATTTGACGACACATATAAACATCTGCAATATGCTCATTAAACACGAGGAAAACGATCCTTTTTTGAAGCTACTGATAACTGGTGATGAGAAGTGGATTCTTTACAACAATGTGGTGCACAAACGGTCTTGGTCCCCACATGATGATTCGCCTCAAACAACATGGAAAGCAGACATTCATCAGAGGAAAGTTATGCTCAGTGTGGTGGGATTTTAAAGGTGTCATGTTTTTCGAGCTCCTACCAAGGAACGAAACAATCAATTCAAATGTGTACTGTCGGCAATTGGACAGTTTGAACAAATCCATCATCCAGAAACATCCAGAGATTGTTTTGTTTTTTTTTTAATTGGGGAATTGGGGGGATGGGAACAGTGCTGGGGAATTGGGTGAAGGGGAACAGACAAGTTGCTGTCGTTTTGTTCTTCAATCTAGTTGTGGAGGACGTTGCTTCACTGGCCCAAGTTGGCACCATCATTGCGCTCTTCCCGGGCGAGGCAGATCAGTCGCCGGCTTCTGGACGGCCGCTCACTGCGGCTGCTGGCCGCTCACGCTGGCTGCTGGCTACACGGTAGCCCATGGCAACCCACTGCCACAGGGACTGCAGCCTACGCCGTCGCCGTCGCCGGCGACTCACGGCAGCCCAGCTCCAGGTTGAGCTGTTGTTCAGCATCTTAGCTGTAGAGGGCAGTGTCACTGGCCCTCATATGTGGGATCCGAACCGGGGCCCTCTGGCATCCCAAGCGAGTTATTAACCATCGCGCCACTCGGCCGGCCCAGAGCTTGTTAATTGTAAAGGAGTTGTGTTCCATCGCGACAACGCGAGACCACACACAAGTTTGATCACCCGGCAAAAATTATTGGAGCTTGAATGGGATGTGTTGCCACACCCACCATACTCGCCTGACCTTGCGCCGTTAGACTTCCACTTGTTTCACTCTCTTCAAAACTCTTTGCATGGTATAACATTCAATTCAGATGAGGCTGTAAATAAGCACCTTGTTCAGTTTTTCGCAAATAAAGACGGGTCCTTCAACGAACGAGGAATTATGAAGCTTACTGAAAGATTGCCAAAGGTTATCGAACAAAACGGGCAATATATCAGTGATTGATCTTTGTTCTTTATATAAATAAATGACCTTTGAAAAACATGGACAAAATACGGCATGACTTTTCCAACAACCCAATAGTTGCGGGGGGGGGTATTGTGTGTGTGTGTGCGCAGCCTAGCATTACATGCGGGAGTTGAACCAGCAACCTTGATAAGAGCACGCGCTCTAGCCAACTGAGCCATTCGGCCGCCTTCATTCCCTTCTTGACACAATACCCTTATTTCCCTCTTTCTTTACACAATAGCAATTGGTTATCTACCAGGTTCACCTATTAAACTTCTTTTTCTCCTCCATCTCCCAATTTTGGTCAATAGTATTCCTTTTTTTTTTTTTTTTAAACTTGTTCTGTTCAACATACTTCTATTAGGTGATGTGTCAGCTCTGAGCATCATGGTGGGCTCCCATCTACTGAGACAACGAGTCACCTGTTCTACTTTCCACCATTCTCTCCCTGTTTTCCTCCCACTTTGGGTCATTTGACAAAGCATACACACTTAATCACATCCCACCTTTGCTGGTGCCCTAGGTCTGCAGCTAAGTGTATTAATTACTTACCCCGATACTGTCACCAAAATTTTCTCCAGTGTGTATGCTTTGATGTGAAGTGGTTGGGTGGAGCTTAACTTCTAGTGTAAAGTTGCTGAATTTTAACAAATAGATATGTTTGTGTCAACCAAACCTCTATTAAGATACATGACATCATTGTCACCCAGAAAGTTCCCTGGGTGTGCTGTCCATTTTATCAAGGGCATGCATGATTTTTCTGGCTAGAGAAAAATGAAGAGCTGAATAGTTTTTTTTTTGGGTGGGGGAGGAGTTTTTTGTTGTTGTTGCTGTTGTTGGGGAACAGCGTGTTTTTCCAGGACCCATCAGCTCCAAGTCAAGTAATTGTTTCAATCTAGTTGTGGAGGGCACAACTCAGTGGCCCATGTGGGGATCGAACCAGCAAACTTGGTGTTATGAGCCTGCGCTCTAACCAACTGAGCTAACCGGCCGCACCTAAGTAGTTTTTTAAAGTCATGGTTCTCATAGCCACTGTTTTGTGGTAATTCTGATCAATGTATTGATTGAGCTATTCCAAACTTGTAATGGAATCAGGCTGACATATGGTTAGTGCCACACTTAGGAAAGAGGCCCCATGTGGCATTTAGCTCTCCTGTGCAGTCGTCACATGGATTATGTCAGGTTAAGAGACATCAAGGGACTCCCCACAGTGTTCATGAGAAGATTCCTCAGTAAGGAACGCAAGTCCTGTCTGGAATGGTGGGAGAACAGGTCCTAAGGAAGAACAGGGCTGCCAAGAGACAGTGTGGGTGCCATGGTGCCCCGACAGGGGCAGCTACCATAGAGTGGCCGGTGTCCAGGCTACGTGGGCAGGTGATTCTGTTTGTGCTGGGTTTTCTCCTGCAGGGAGCAGGGATGGGCACAGGTGCCTTGCTTTAGAAGTAATTACCCCAAACTTCCCAAAGTTGGGTGGGAGCAGGGTGCCCAGGCAGAAACTGGTGAGCGTTAGTGGAGGGAGAGGAGGCTTCTGAGCCGCTGACAGCATGTCCTGGGGACTCTAGGCTCATTTCGGCCGCATATTCTGGGTCTGCCCTCCTGGGGCTCTGGCTGCGCCTGTACTGGACTCTGTCCGGGTTGCGGTTGGCAGCGACTGCCTTAGTGGGCTTCTGCAGGCTTCCACAGCTGTCACCGCTGTGGCCATTTCTGTCATTTTACACATGCTGTCTTACCATGAGTGACCCCTGGGTGGCAGCAAAGTCTTATTCCTGCTGCTCTCTGCCCCCAATGCGCTGAAGCTATGGGCTGAGCGTCTGGAACAGCGGTTCTCAACCTGTGGGTCGCGACCCCTTTGGGGGTCGAACCACTCTTTCACAGGGGTCGCCTAAGACCATCGGAAAACAAAAAGATATTTACATTACGATTCATAACAGCAAAATTACAGTTATAGAGTAGCAATGAAAATAATTTTATAGTTGGGGGTCACCACAACATGAGGAACTGTATTAAGGGGTCGCGGCATTAGGAAGGTTGAGAATCGCTGGTCTAGAAGGTCCTGGAAGATCAGCTTGTCCATTTTTCGCTTTGTTTTCCGGGTTTTATTTTGGCACATTTCAGCCGATTCTGGTGATGTGTGAATGCAAAGGTTCTGCTGGGCCTGTCATAAGGCCGAGGACAGTGAGTGTCCTGTTGTGAGTGGGGTCACCCACCTGGAACATGGCTCCCATGGTGGCAGCTGCTGTGCCCTGGCAGAGTTGAGAACATGTCACAGTGGAATGTTTTTCACCTGCACATCCTCTATAAAAAAAGAGGTAAACTGTTTATGGCAGCGTGAGATCTATTTTTATTTCTATTTATTATTATTTTTTTATTGTCAGATCTTTATTTAAAATTTTCATCTGTCAACTTAGCGTTTTCCACCAACTTGGGGAGCAGAAACCTTCCCAGGCTTCATCCTCTGCTTGGCACCAGCCATCGCTGTCTTCCTAGGTGTGTGTGTAGCCTTTTTGGCTTCCTTGGCAGCCCAGATAGCTTGTTCTCGTGGAGCATTCCTCATGTCAGGTTTCTGATTCTTCTTGGCCATTATTTCAGCAAGAGATGCCCTGCTGAAGGCCCTCTGGAATTTGACTGCATGGCAGCTTCTGTTTTGAATTCCTTCCAACTGTCCTTCTTTATGCTTTCTTATGTCGAGAACAGTCCAGTTTATCTGTTGAGGGTTCCTCTTGGAAAGGAGTGCTGACTCTCATTTTGCATCAAGAAATTGGAAAACGGTCCTGTGGATCCTGATGTGGTGCCACCCGTGTGCAGGGATGTCCTGTACCCACTGGAACTACACGGTGACCTTCCTGGCTGCAACTGCCGGAGAGCATGAGATCCATTTTTATTTATTTATTTATTTATTTATTTATTTATTATTTTTTGTTTTTTAGCTGAGCCATCCTGCCACCTGTTGGCAGCTCAGCAGCAGCTCAGCTCGGGCGAGACTCGAACTGCTGTTGCTCAGAGCTCACACTCTTGAGCAAGCTCTTAACCAACTGAGCCACTTGGCTGTCCTGAGAGCCATTTTTAAACTCACATATATATTAATATGAGACATCAGGGAGGAAACTAGAATTTAAAAGGAATTTTGTATGATTGCTAAAAGAATATATGAAAAATGTTTATTCCAGTCCCCCCACCCCCTGCAATTTTTTTTTAAAACTTTTTTTTCTTTAAAGATTTTTTTGGGGAATTGGGGGAGGGAACAGCATTGGGGAATCGGGAAAGGGGAACAGACAAGTTGCTGTCCTTTGGTTCTTCCGTCTAGTTGTGGAGGACGTTGCTTCACTGGCCCATGTTGGTATTGTAATCAATGCGCTCTTCTTGGCTGAGTCAAATAGGTCGCCAGCCGCTCACGGTGACTCACGGCAGTTCTCACCGGCTGCCCACTGCTCATGCTGGGTGCCGGCCACTCACAGTCGCTTATGGCAACCCACTGCAGCCTCACCCACTGCAGCCTACTCTGTCGCTGGCAACTCACGGCAGCCCAGCTCCATATCGAGTTGTTATTCACCATCTTAGCTGTGGAGGGCAGCGTCACTGGCCCATGTGGGACCCGAACCAACAGCCCTGCTGCTCAGAGCTCTTGCTCTCGAGCCAACTCTTAACCAATGAACTACTCAGCTAGCCCTTCTTTTTTAACTTTCATAACAAGGAGCTTGAAGGTTGAATTCCAGTTCAACCTTAAATTCCAGTTTAAATTCCAGTTCAATCTTTTATTTTCAACCAAACAAACCCGAAAGTTTTATATAGTTATTTTTTGAATAACTATAGGTATTCATGACCTCATTTTTTAAATAGTCTTAAGACTTCCTAGATCATTTGAGAATGGCAGAAAGAATACTGACAATTACTAGCAACACACAATGTAAAATTAACATTAAGAATCATTAAAGAAACATCAATTTTTTAACAATTGTATAAGTTTTTAAGTTGTACTCAAACGAAGTCGAATTTGGTGATATGGCATTTTACAATAGTGTTGGGATTTCTTTGTAATAAGAGTCCATTCAAATGGGCCATGAAGGGCCGGCTGAGTGGCTCAGTTGGTTAAGAGCTCGCTCAAGAGTGCGAGCTCTGAGCAACAGCGGTTTGATGCCCGTTCCGAGCTGAGCTGCCAACAGGTGGCAGGATGGCTCAGCTAAAAATAAATAAATAACCAAAAGGGCCATGAATTTGTATTTATAAAATTTTATCACGTTTTAGAGCTTTGTGCCATGTTCATGCTGCATTTCTGTGCAGTCAATCCCAGGGTCACCTTGTTATTGTTACTAAACCCAGTTTAAGAAATATAAGCAGTTTCAGCTGTTTTGATATAAAAGGCCAGCCTTTACCTGGACTGAAAAGTGGCATATCTGGGCCAGCTCAGTCGCGCGCTGTTTAAGAGTTGGCTTGGGACACCAGCTCTGAGGAGGAGGGCCACGGATTCGGATCCCACATGAAGGGCCAGTGACGCTGCGCCCTTTACAGGTAAGATGGTGAACAACAGCTCTACTTGGAGCTGGGCTGCCATTAGCTAGCGGCAATGGCATAGGCGGCAGTGGGCTGCTGTAAGCTACCTTGAGTGGCAGGCAACCAGCATGAGCCACTGTGAGCCACCGTGAGCAGTTATCTAATGGCCGGCGAGCGACTGCCTTACCCGGGAAGAGTGCAATGATAATACCAACATGGGCCAGTGAAGCGATGTCTTCCACAACTACACTGAAGACAAAAGGACAGCAACTTGTCTGTTCCCCTCCCCCAATAAAATCTTTAAAAATAAAAAAGTATCATATCTATATTTCATTTTCATACCGTCTGGTAATCCTGCTATTACCATTGGCATAAAAAAAGTCACTTTTTTAAGGGCATTTAATTTTACATAGAAATTTTATTTTACTGTGGTGTTTCAAACTGAGAAATGTACAGTTTCTCATCTTATAGTATGTGCATTTTTTTTTAAAAGATTTTACTGGGGAATTGGGAGAGGGGAACAGCATTGGAGAATTGGGGAAGGGGAACAGACAAGTTGCTGTCCTTTGGTTCTTCAGTGTAGTTGTGGAGGATATCACTTCACTGGCCCATGTTGGTATTGTGGTCATTGCGCTCTTCCTGGGTAAGGCAGTCGCTCGCCGGCCATTGGACAGGCGCTCACAGAGGCTCTTGGCAGCTCACGAAAGCTCACGCCTGCTGCTGGCCAGCCCCACTGCAGTCTACACCGTCGCCGGCCACTCACAGCAGCCCAGCTCCAGGTTGAGTTGTTGTTCACCATTTTAGCTGTAGAGGGCGCTGCGTCACTGGCCCTCACGTGGGATCTGACCCAGGGCACTCCTGCTCAGAGCTGGCGTCCCAAGCCAGCTCTTAACCAATGCACCACTTGGCCGGCCCTATTTTTATTCTTTTGATTGTGGCTGTCCAGGTTTTCCAGCACCATTTAGTGAAGAGACTCTCCTTTCTGTATTGTATGTTGTTGGCTCCTTCGTCAAAAATTAGTTGCCCACATGAGTGGATTTATCTCTGGGCTTTCAATTCTGTTTCATTGGTCTGTGTGTCTGTTTTTCTGCCAGTGCCACGCTGTTTTGATTACTGTAGCCTTGTAGTATAATTTGAAACTGGGGAATGTGACACGTCTGGCTTTGTTCTTCTTCCTCAGGATTGCTTTGGAATTTTGAGGTGTTCTGTGGTCCCATACAAATTTTAGGAATATTTGTTCTAGTTCTGTGAAAAATGCCATTGGGACTGTGATAGGGATTACACTGAATCTGTAGATGGCTTTGGGTAGTATGGATGTTTTAACTATGTTGATTCTTCCAATCCATTAACACAGAATATCTTTCCATTTCTTTGGTTTTTTTTTCCAGTTTCTTTCAACAATGTCGTATGGTTTTCAGTGTACAGGTCTTTTCCCTCCTTTGTTAAGTTTATTCCTGGGTATTTTATTCTTCTGTTGCAATTTTAAATGGGATTGTTTAATTCGTTTCTTCTTCTGTATTTCATTGTTAATATATAGAAATGCAGTAGATTTTTGTATATTGGTTCTGTGTCCTGCAACTTTACTGTATTCTTTTATTATTCCTAATATTTTTTTGCTGGAGTCTTTAGGGTTCTCATATAAAATCATGTCATCCACAAATAATGACAGTTTTACTAGTATGTAATATGTAAATTCTTTGGTACATATTTCCAACTTTCCCTTTAAAAAGTCATTATGTGTAGTTCCACCAATAGTAAAAGACAGTGATTGTTTCTTCAATTCTCATCAACACTGGGTATTATTTTTTAAGTATTTAGAATAAAGTCTGAAGTTCTTGAGCTTTTTGTCGTGCCTCATCTTGCCATTCTCCCCTCGTCACACTTCTTGCTCTAGCCGTAGTGAGAGTCTTTTATTTATTTATTTTTTAAAAGATTTTATTGGTGAATTGGGGAAGAGGAACAGTGTTGAGGTATTGGGGAAGGGGAACAGCCAAGTTGTTGTCCTTCAATCTTAATTGTGGAGGGTGCAGCTAGCTCAGCTCCAAGTCCAGTCGCCATCTGGCCGCCTGGTGGCAGCTCAGCTCAAGGTGCTATGTTCTATATTAGTTGCAGGTAGGCATGGCCTACCATCCCATCCCATTCCATCCCATGCGGGAGTAGAATCGGCAACCTTGTTGTTAGGAGCACGTGCTCTCACCAGCTGAGCCATCCTGCCATCTGTTGGCAGCTCAGTGGCAGCTCAGCTTGGGCGCAGCTCACTGGCCCATGTGGAAATTGAACCGGGGACCCTGTTGCTCAGAGCTCGCGCTCTTAACCAACTGAGCCACTTGGCCAGCCCCAGAGTCTTTTAATGCTTGAACTTGATTGATTCTGTCACTTGTCCCACCCAGGCCCTCATAGCTGCCGTTGCTAATCGTGTCATCTTCAGGTTTTAGCTTAAACCTCGCTTCCTCCCAGAGGTCTTCTTAGACCATGTACACTGGCTTGGAGGCCATTGAGTCCCTACATTTTTGCATCGTTTCCATGTCACATGGTTTATCATCCTTGTTAAAATTTTAGTTAATTATCTATCTACCTGAATAGAATGTAAGCCTCTTGAGGTCGGAATCTGTATTTGTCTCCCTGTTATATTCCTTATGTAGCTATGTCTGGCCTTCTAAATATTTGTTGAATGGATTAATTTGCCAATTTGATAGGTGAAAAATTATAATTTAATTTTAATTTCTTTGATTGCTAATGAACTTAGATATTTTTATCCTGTTGACTGGCCATCTTTACTTATGATTTCTGCCTATCACCTCTTTTTCTACTGGAGTATTTTTCTTTTGCAGAACAGTTTGTAGGAGCTTTTAGCACATTATGGGTGTTATCCCTGAGGGATGGTGTTCTCTGATCATTTCTTTGTGTTTTTATGTAACAGGTTCTGAGATTAGGACTGAAAAGGAACTATCTACTGTAAGCCAGACATGTTCTGAAGAAGTAAAAACCCTAGAGTTGATATCAAGAAGATTCTCGAGGCATACTCCACAAATCTCTGAGTTGCAGGAAGCTTGGGACCATGAGAATAAACAAGGACACCTGGGAAATTCTGCTGGGCAGAGTTTGAAGAAACTCCATCCTCACAAGACAGTTTTTAGGAAAGAAACTGCCACGTGTAGGGAAAGACCTCCAGGAAAAACAACCCAGGAGTGTGGTGCATTTGATGGGAACTTGAATCTGAACCAAAATGTTGTTAGACTTCAAAGAAATAAAACAGGAGAGAGAGCCTTTAAATGTGATATATGCAGCAAAACCTTCAAATACAGCTCAGACCTAAGTAGACATCACAAAAGTCACAATGGGGCAAAGCCTTATGAGTGTGATCAATGTGGGCGAGCCTTTACTCACAGCTCAAGCCTTATTCTGCACCATCGCGTTCACACTGGAATTAAACCATTTAAATGTAATGAATGTGGGAAGACTTTTGGTCTCAACTCCTACCTCCTTCTCCATCAGAGAATTCATACTGGAGAAAAACCTTTTGGGTGTAGTGAATGTGGGAAGGCTTTCAGTCGAAGCTCCACTCTTATTCAACATCGTATCATTCACACAGGAGAGAAACGTTACAAGTGTAATGAATGTGGAAAAGCCTTCAGCCAGAGCCCACAGTTAACACAGCATCAGAGGATCCACACTGGCGAGAGACCCCACGCATGTGACCAGTGCGGGAAGGCCTTCAGTCGAAGCTCCAGCCTCATTCAGCATCACAGGATCCACACTGGGGAGAAGCCCCACGTGTGTAACGTGTGTGGGAAGGCCTTCCGTCAGAGCTCCAGCCTTTTCCTCCATCACAGGGTTCACACTGGGGAGAAGCCCTATGTTTGTCATGCGTGTGGAAGAGCATTCGGTTTTAACTCTCACCTCACTGAGCACGTGAGGATTCACACTGGGGAGAAGCCCTATGTTTGTCATGCGTGCGGCAGAGCCTTTAGCCGGAGCTCAACTCTTGTTCAGCATCGCAGAGTTCACACTGGGGAGAAACCTTATCAGTGTATTGAATGTGGAAAAGCCTTCAGCCAGAGCTCACAACTCACCCTACACCAGAGAGTTCACACTGGCGAAAAGCCCTACGAATGTGGAGACTGTGGGAAGGCTTTCAGCCGGAGGTCAGCCCTCACTCAGCATCAGAGGATCCACACTGGCGAGAGCCCTCGTGCATGCAGAAAGTGTGGTCCAGCCTTTGTTCACGGCTCCAGCCTTAGGCCACATGGACAGATTCACACCGGAGAGAACCACTCTGTGTGTGATGTACACAGCAGAGCCCTCAGCCATGGCACAAACCTTGTTCTACATTGGACAATTCACAAACGCTTTGTGTTTTCACAATCATTTGGTGTGTAGCCTTTTGAACTAGCTTCTTTCACTTAACATACTGGTGATTCATCTGTGACGTTGCATGTCCTAATAGTTCCTTCCTTTTTACTGCTGACCGGCACCCCGTTATATGGATGTGGCAGTTTGTTTATCCGTTCTCCCCCGAAAGGTATTTGGGTTGCCTCATCTGGGGCAAGGATGAGTAAAGCTGCTGTAAGCATTTATGACAGGCTCTTTTGTGAACCTAGCTTTTCAGTTCTCTTGGGTACAGAGATAAGAGTGGGTAAGGTTATTTTTAACTTTTTAAGGAACTGCAAAACTGTTTTTTAAAGTGGCTGTACCATTTCACATTCCCACTGGAAATGTATGAGTTTAGTTGATTTGAATCCTCACCAGAACTTGGTATTGTCAGCTTTTTTATCCTAGCCATTTTAGTGGGCATGTAGGGGTAGCCATGGTGTTAGTCTGCATTTCCCTATTTGTGATTTGAGCACGAAGCTTCTATTTAAAGTGTTACTGGGATGTTTGAGAAACAGTGGACTAGTTAAACTACACTACCTGACCACTCTGCCATCCTTTCAACTCTGAGACTCTACCTGAATGATTTTTTTTTTAAAGATTGTATTGTGGAATTGGGGGTGGGGAACAGCATTGGGGAATCGGGGAAGGGGAACAGACAAGTTGTTGTCCTTTTGTTCTTCAGTCTAGTTGTAAAGGACGTCGCATCACTGGCCCATGTTAGTATTATCATTGCGCTCTTCCCAGGTGAGGCAGTCGCTTACCAGCCATTGGATGGCCGCTCACGGGGGCTCACGAATGCTCACACCTGCTGCCGGCCAGCCCCACTTCAGCCTATGCCGTCACCGGTGACTCTTGGCAGCCCAGCTCCAGGTCAAGCTGTTGTTCACCATTTTAACTGTAGAGGGTGCAGTGTCACTTGCCCTCATGTGGGATCCGAACCCGGGCCCTGCTGCTCAGAGCTGGCGTCTCAAGCCAACTCTTAACCAATGCGCCACTCTGCCGGCCCAGGATTCTTTTTTTCTAACCCGTCTTCATTCCCTGCCACCCAACTCAAACATACGACCCCTTCAAGGAGCCTTACTCAGTTAACCTCTGGTCCCTCTTTGGGGTCTTCTTAGGGAATTTAGTATCACTTATGCATTTGGTTTATTTGTTTGACTTATTCCACAGGCTTGTGTCCTGCTTCTCTCATTATGTTATTAAAATTCTAAGCACAGAACCTTCTCTAAGTGTGGGGTTGGCCAGCCCCAGTGTGGTTGGTGTGGAAGGGTCCGCAGGCCTCATTTGTTCTTTGGCCTTGGGCTTAACTCTGTGACCTTGGGTAATGCATCTCATCTTTCTAGGTCTTTTTCCTCACCTCTAAAATAAGGATAAAAATACCTGCCCCACATAGTGTATATCCTTCAAAGAAAGCAGCTCTCCTACTTTTTGTTTTTTTTTAAGATTTTATTGGGGAATTGGGGGGAGGGAAACAGACAAGTTGCTGTCCTTTTGTTCTTCAGTCTAGTTGTGGAGAACGTCGCTTCACTGGCCCACGTTGGTATTATCATTTTGCTCTTCCCGGGTGAGGCAATTGGTCGCCGGTCATTGGTCAGCTGCTCACAGCGGCTCCTGGCAGCTAACACTGGCTGCTGCCCGCTCACGCTGGCTGCCAGCCACTCATGTAGCTCATGGCAGCCCACTGCAGCCTACGCTGTCGCCAGCGACTCACAGCAGCCCAGCTCCAGGTCGAGCTGTTGTTCATCATCTTAGCTGTAGAGGGCGATCGTCACTGGCCCTCATATGTGGGATCTGAACTGCAGCCCTGCTGCTCAGAGCTGGCGCTCCCAAGTGAGCTCTTAACCAGCTGAGCCACTCTGCCGGCCCAGCTCTCCTACTCTTGTGTCCCACAGTACAGCCTTCATACCCACACCATATCACAGCTCATATTTCATTTCACTCTTTCTACCTGGTTCTCCTCCATTACATCTGGAGCTCTCTGCTGTCAGAGATTTATCTGAGGCACTGTTCTATCTCCAGCATGTGATACAGATAGGTGCTTCAGACCCATTTGGGAAGGAAGGAAGGAAGATGGGAGGGAGAAGAAAAAGGGAAGCAAAATAGTGTCATGGAAGCACTCAGTCATTCAAAGGCAGGGCATAGATGTAAAATACTGATATGGTATGTTTTTGCCTGAGTCTTGTTCGTTGGAGCACATTAATCCATTACAACTGTTTTCCCTTCTAAGCTTCTGGAGCCCTGTAATGTTCCCCTTCGAAGACCCACATCTCATGTTTGTGTCCTGTGGAAACTTTGGTGCTGGCAGAAGAAAAACACACAGCTGAAGAGGAGGTGGCTGAGCACAAACTTTGACAACGGTAGAGGGAGTGGGTTCTAGCTGCTTTAGGGGCAGGAAAAGGCTGCCAGCACATTTTCAGGAAGGAAGGTGAAGGGACAGGGGATGGATGTGTGTGGGCCTTTGAGTTGGTCTCATCTGGGAGGCTCAACTACAGAGAGGCCTGAGGAATTCTGATGGTCATTTTGGAGAGTGGGAGACTTATCCTCCTGGAGAAAATCACAAGATTGCCATGAAGTGCTCATTTTACATTTAAAGTGAAACCAGCCAGCCTGGTCCTGTGATGTCTCTGCAGTAGTCATGATGAACGAGTATGGCTTGGTCCATCCAGGTTGTGTTTCTCAAGTGGGTACAATGGAGAGGCAGCTAGAGACGAGAGCAAAGACCACTTGTCCGTGGGAGTGAAGTGTGAGGCTGGGCCCAAGGGAAGGGCAGGAGCGGCCAGATAGCCCATTGCAGCAGCGGGGTGCCAAAGGAATGACCTGCAGGACAGGACGTGGAACTCAGCTGAGGACTTGAAATGGAGCTTTGAGCGCTTTGCAATTCCTTGTGATGACAGGATCCAGGGTGTGGCCATGCACTGAGCGTTGTGGGCTTCTGTGCTTTGTTGTGGGAGTTTCATGCTACTTAGCTTCCTTCCATTTCGCTAGAAATGGAAGTCAAATACACCTTCTAGAAATAAATATAGGTAATAATAATTTTAGAAAGCTTGAAGAACAGGCTAAACCCTGATTACAAAATGCTGAAGAAGGGCCGGCTGAGTGGCTCAGTTGGTTAAGAGCTCGCTCAAGAGTTTGAGCTCTGAGCAACAGCGGTTCTAGTCAGCCCGAGCTGAGCAGCCGCTGAGCTGCCAACAGGTGGCAGGATGGCTCAGCTAAAAAAAAACCAAAATGCTGAAGAGAGCACTGGTAAAGATGAAGGTGAGCCATTACCAAGAGTTAAGATGAGAACAAGATAGAAAATAATAGACATGGAGGATACAGACGGTCCAATTTATCTAACGAATTACAGTTGTAAACAATTTTAACTTCCACGGCTGAAAGCCTTTTCGAGACAATGTTTACTGGGCCAGCGAGAAAAAGAGGACCAGGTCCTGGGGCATGGAGCCTAAACCCAGCGGCCCACCAGGTGGGTCGGCAACATGTCTGCTGTCCTGGAGTGCACGGGCTTTCTGATCTCAGGTAAGGGAGAAAGACAAAGTCATCTAGAAAGAATCTACCACGTGGGGTACAGATGAAGGGGTGGGAGAAAGTGGAGCGGGGCCTGTGGGCAAGGTCCGGAAAGTTCCAGTGTAAACGGGGTGGGGGAGGGGGGCTGCCAGGCGTTGGATGGCCCGGGCTCTTCCTTTTGGTAAGCGCAGAAACGGGGCGGAAGTGGGTTCAAAGTCCGACGCTCAGGAGCGTGGGCCGCCCTGCTGGCCCCAGCTGTTCGTAGGCTAACCGGCCCGTCTCGCTCCCTCTGCCCAGGCTCCCAAGAATTTTTCTCTTGTCCCAGCAGAGACTGCGAGAACGGGGAAAAGCCAGTATTTTAAGAGATAATGGCTGACTGTCCCCCGAATTGAGGAAATAAGAAATCTCAGATTCAGCAAGTGCAATAGATTAGAGTAGGAAAAACTATCCCAAATCCAAACACGGCGGACGGAACTACAGGGAGAGGAAGCGGCCAGAAGGCGGGCTGCGGCGTCACCTGCGCCGAGGGCTCCCGCCCCGCCCCCCAACGCCGGCATTGTGGGCGGAGCCAGCCCAACGGCGCTCCCTACTCCCGGCATGCCGCGCACGCCCCGGCGGGACTCCGGCTCCCAACAAGCCGCGCGGCGGCGCACGCGCACGGGGCCGAAGGCGGCGCCCCCTGGTGGCGGGCGCGGC